CTGACACATGGCATTCCTTTAAGTTATCCCTGAAAGCATTTGAATTCCAGCCAGGTGGAAGTGTTACTTGATGGGTGGGAAGTGCTGCTTTGTTTAAGCAGGCTGGTGGAACCAATCCCAGCTCATGTTCCAAAGCCTAATCCTGTTCCAGGGAAGGGCTCCTAAACCCTGCAGACCCTTCCTGCAGATATGGGATGGGAAACAAGTCAGTGAGCAAACCCTGGCACTGTGTGAGGGTGCCAGGAGTGGACATCTCCAGGGCTGGAACGTGGCATTTGCAGAGCTCCCAACCTCAGCAAGCTTGTCCCTGCAGGGACCCTGGAGGGAAAACAGGATTTGCCCCTCAGGCTCACACAGTTTTGCTGCTTCAAACACCCTTAAGATCCTACCACCTGCTCCCCCTGCCTGTCCCCAGAGTCCTCCAGGGCTGGGCAAGCTGGTGAGGATCAGGGAAAACAGCACCATGCCTGATGTCAGCAGCTACCTGGGGATGCACTCACAGAGGGCTCCTGCTTTGGAGTCCCTAATGCCAGAGAAAGCCTGGAGCAAAAACAACTGCTTGGCATTATCCACCATCCACAGAGGGAACAGAACCAGGGCTGTGCAAGTCACTGCTCCCATGGGAAGGGAAGTTTCTGGAGCACAGAACCCAGGGCAGTTTCCTGACATCACCTGGAAGCTCCCATGGAAGAATACACAGAGCAGGCATGAAATAAGAGCTTGGTAACTAATCCAGTCTCCAGCCAAGCAGCTCCTCTCTGTGACCAAACTTCAGACAGCATCTTCCAGATCACTGCTGGGCCCTTTCCCTCCCTCCCCACACACAGGGAATTTCCCAGGGAACATGGACTGCAGTAGACAGATATTAAAAAAGATCCAAGACACTTCACCAGGCCCAGAAGACAAAACCCTTCCCAGCGTCCCCATCACCCCATGAACGGCTGCACCCACAGCAGGAGCCCTGCAAGGGGCTGGATCCTGGGCCGGGTGACCGGGATGGGAAAGGATGTCTGAGGGAGACAAGGTTGCACAGGTCCAAACACCTGAAAAGCGTGAAAGTCCTGCCCTTGCCTTGCTTTGAGCAGTGAAGGAATCCAGCACCACGTTCCTCCCGGGGAGCGGAGCGAGGTGACTCACTGGCTCATTTTGCCAGGGACAACAAAAGCTTTCTCTGCCTCATAATGCATTTCCATTACAGCATTAAGGATTTTTCTGACCCAAATACACGTCCTGAGAACAAAAATAACTGTAAGGAATAAAGTGTTTAATCTGCCTCGATTCTGCTCTCAGAAAGATAAAATCTATTACAAATGTTATCCCTCGCCTTGCCTATTAATCCTAAAGGGAGCAGTGATTAAATACTGTTTCTAACCCTGCAGTCCCTGGTGTGCCAGGGATTCCAGGAGTCCCAGTTGCTCCATGCTGTCCATCTGGGGATGATAACAGAGCAACATCTCACCTGGGTTGGGGGCCCCAGGTTTTCCGGGGAGTTCTCTGAGTTCTGAGAGTTCTCTGCCTGTGCTTGGCCAGGATTCCCAGCAGGATCTTCACTCCCTGCAGCCTTGGTGCCCCATCCCGATGGTGTCAGGACCCCTGTCCCACCCTCCAGCACAGGCTGAGCTCTGCCTCCAACAGGGGGGCAATGCTGGGCCCCAAAGCACCGACAGGGAATGCACTTCAGGACTCACTGACAGCCAATTACAGGGGCGGGGGCTGAGCCCATCAAATTAATTTTAATTGCAATTCAAAGAAAGAAAAGCCACTCGAACATTTCTAATCAACAGGCATCTAATGAGGCCTGTTAGTTCCTGTAGTCTGAACACAGTAGGGAATTTTCCAAGATAATTTACTTCATTAATATTCAGCCAGAAGTGGATCATCCAATACTTTCCACAGTGGCATTGAGATAAAATATGTCAAAAGGAAAATTTTATATTTGACACGGACTTTAAGTTTCATAAGTTTTGTTCTCTCTTAGAAAAAAAGTGAAATAAAACATTACAGCCCAGATCAACTGGAATGATTACAAGGACTCAACCAGAACAGTGCCCAGGTGCAAATATACCAGAGCCAGTCAGGAAAATCAGAGGGATCCCCTTTGCAGGATTTCTGAACGTTGTTGTTGTACTTAATTCTTGATACAACAAATGTCAAGAACTCTTGAAAAGCTGTCAGCCTTTTTAAGGAGTAACAGCTTTAGTGTAACAGGTTTCACATCTTCACGGTGAGACTGGTTTGGTTTGGTTAGTTACAATGGAAATAATAAATAAATAAATAAATAAATAAAAAGAAAAAAGAGCCCCAGAGAGACCAAAGTTTGCAAAGTTTGAGAAGGAACACTTGTCCTGTCAATGATCAATACCCACAGCCCCACAGCCCCTGCTGGGAGCTCAATTCACTGCCCTTCCCAAAACAAAGGACTACAAATGCCAGGATTTAAATGCCAGAGGGGCACATCATTCATCAATGAGCAGGATTTTCATCGTGGGGACATTTAGCTGTGCATGTTTACAGAACACGTGTAGGTTACTTAGAAGTCCAACCTGATAGGAACAACGAAGAGCCTGCGTTAGCCTGTCTCTCTGGAAGCATCACTTCCCTTTCTGCTCCTTTCTCTACTGCACTGTAAAGGTTATCCTCATAAAAGACGTTATTACAACTAGCATCACATCATCAGAAAGGAGGGGGAAAAGATGAAATCATGAATATTTGAAGAACTATTTTCTGAAGACCTCGCTGTGGCTGGGGAGGGGAGACTGCAAAAGGCATCAGCAGCCCCGTGGGCTCTTTTCTGTCCTGTGCTGCAACCAAAGTTTACTTGTCTGCAGTGTGAAATAGTTCAGACAAGCCCTGGTCCCAAAAGGGCAGTTGCCCATAAAGCAGATCAGATATTGGCTAAAATACAATTGGTTTTTTTCACACTGATGTCCATGGAAATGTTTCTGTGGTACAACAGCACAGAATGGAACCAGCAGCTCCATGCACTTATTTCTGCTGGACAGGCTCTGCTCCCCTTCCTGTGCCACCAAACCTCCCTCAGCTCATGCACCAGATCATGACCAACTGCATTTGGCTTCTCTAGAAACTGCCCAGCACTTCTTCCCCGTCCTTTTTCAACTGTGACATTTAAAATACTCTAATGCCCCCAAAATGAAATATTTGGGTGGATATTATCCCACCTCAGAGCAACTGGGTCTCTAATAACACCACTACCCACTTGCCACCACACATATCCTTAATTCTGCTCTTGAAAATACAACAGGAAGTAGGATTCAAGTTTCATATTGTTAATGGATTAAATTAAATTACATTCTCATGATTCAAAGACACTTAAGTTAATTTAAGAATATATATTTTACCCAAAACTCACTTAACTGCCATGTAATTTTTTGCTATTTCCTTTTCCATTATTGCTGATTAACAAGATCCTCGTGAATAAATAGAAGTGCTCTCTCTGCTGCAATTAGCCTGTCTGTCCCTCTGATTAGCTGATTCCTAGTTTGTGACAGGGAATTTGGAAATCCGGAATACTCCACTCTGACATCATCGTTCCAGTCACCAACCAAAATGGAAGTTTCCTGGGAAAGAAAGTTCTTGGCTCTATTTTAACAGATGTTTGGAAAATCACTAAGGTCCAGCCTAAGCGTCACTGAAACAAAAGGATTTTGCTGCACTGAGCTGGGAAAGGAAAGCCCAGAAGGGAGCCTGGAAGCAGGGTAAATTCCTCAGGCAAATCACCACAGAGCTGGGAAAAGGACAGGCAAAGACCTGCCCAGTGGCTCCCACTGCTCCTGCAGGGAACAGGATCCCGGGGGGAACGTGGCCCAGGAGCCACAGGAAAAGGGTGAGTGACACCATCAGTGCAGCAAGAGGAGGGGCACTCATGGGATCAGAGGGTCACAGAACGGTTTGGGTTGGAAGGGACCTTAAATATCATCTTGTTGCAGTTCCCCTGGAACACCAGGGACACCTTCCACAGCCCAGGCTGCTCCAAGCCCCGTCCAACCTGAGGACAGTAAATCCTACAGCTGCCAGGCAGCAGCTCAGAGGGGAACACGGCAAAGGTCAGCAAAGCTCTAAAGCTGCATCTCAAACCCTGACCTAAAGGGCCCTGGGAAGGTGTGCTCCCACCCTTCTTACTGGAATTCCCAGGCAATTTTCCTTGGAAAGCTCAGTTCTCCCCTCCTGCCCCACAACACGGTGTGGCAGTGCTGAGGGGCTCCGAAGCTTTCCGGGGTGGAGGAGTCTGTAAACCAGTCTGATGTTCCTGAAGATGAAAGGCACATTAACAATTAAGTGGTATTATTATTGTCAGTAGTAGTGGTAATTTTAGTAAAATAATAGTAGTAGAAGTAATATTTCACTGCTATGAGACATGTTGTTAAAATAAATTCCTTGCTTTAGGAAGTCCAGATAAATGTTACCTTTCAAACACAAAATATTGTGCAGCCATAAGATTCAGTTTATCAAGGATCTAACGGGAAAATAGAGTTAAATCCATTTTCATTATGTAAAAGCCTGAGATATTACCACAGCTTCTCATGTGAACAATCACCCTACAACCTGAACTAATATCTGCTACTCCCAAGCAGCTCCCCAGTGCCATTCATTTGGACAAATTGGAGAGAATTCAGAGACAAGCAACAAAATTATGAAGTGATTGGGGATATGGTCTCGAGAAGGAAGGTCAACAGGAGTAGATTTGTCTGGCACAGGGGAGCGATGATTTTAAAGAGGTCACTGAAAGAGAGAGAGAGTCAGGGAAAGAATAAAATATCACTGTTATTCAGAGGTCAGGAGACAAAATTTGGGGTCACAAGGTTTTCACGCCAAATGAGATTGTTCCTGAAACAGAATGACCCCATCCAGTCCCTCCTGTCATCTGAGCATACACGGAATGATTTCCTGAGTATGATAAATGGATTCTTGAAGGTAAACCTTCACTGGCACTAGGTGAGAGCCCGAGTGACCTCTGCTCTTCTCCATCTCCCACTGCCGTGGCAGAGAAGTGCAGGTACTCGCTGATGTGTCACAGCAGCTGAAGAGTTTGGGGGGGTTCACAGTGCCATGTTGGACCTGGGGTGAGGCAGAAGGATGGGCATTAGCAGATGGAGGGGGAAGAGAAGAAGGAAAGGATCAATTAAGTTTGAAAGTGAGAGGGAGGTTCTCCTGGTCAGGGAACACACCTCCCTGTCTGGGCAAAGTATCAATGGGCTGGGAGAGTTTCCCTGGGAGTGAGCAGGGCTGTGACAAGGCAGCCAAAGCCAGGAGCCCCATCACTGGACTTGGCTGCTCTGCTCTGGTTAGACTTCCACAAACCCCAGGTTTCTTTGGGAAGATCGCATCTGAAGTGACCCCCAGCTGGAAGCACACAGGACCCCGTTATTCCCACTAACAGTGCAGGCACATCCACACCATCATCATCCCCCCAAACCTCCCTGCCTCCGGCCATCACCTTCCCCAAACAGCTTCACCACCTGAAGGTCAGCAGATCCTGGCACCAGAAAGAGTCAGAAACAAGGTTTAAACCCCCCAACTGCCCTTTGCTGTGGGAGCACCGGGAAGGACAGAGAACAGCTTTCCCCATGCAGAAGTGGCTGGATTACAGACCTGATCAGACAGAAAACAAATGCAGATGCACAGAACTAAACAAAACATTGTCTGTGATCTCTTTGTCAACAAATTAGATAACTCTGTTGGCAACTCGGCTGGCTCCTCTTGTTTGCACTGGTAAATTAAGTTCACGTTTGCCATTGCAGGGGGATTTCTAAGTTTTAAAATTTTTAAAGTTTTCTTTTACAGGCGTCGTTCCTGAAAGGTGATTATATGGGATTTTGGGGAGCTCATAACTATAAGGACTCAGTAGAAAAAGTTCTTTGTCCATGGAAATGGTTCTTATGGGAGAAATCTTGAAACAACAATCGCAAAAAGCAATTCTAAATTATGTCTTTTTCTGTTAAACACATGGATTTTCATAACTTGGCCTTCTGCACGCTGGAGGGATGCTCAAAGGTGCAGCTCTATCCTCTGCAGCATGACACGAAGGAAAAGATCCATTAGGACAACGGCAGCCAAATCAGCCTTCAATTGCTGACAGTCTCAAGGGCTCTGGGAGGCTGAGTGTGATGAATTTTACCATGTGATTGATCGTGGTGGTGGCCTGGTTTAAAGAGCAAAGCCCACGTCGAGGCAGGGCTGAGGGCACGGCTCTGTTGAGCAGTAATTCCCAATTACCCCACTGTGACCTTGCAGGGATCTTTGATCATTTACAAGGAGCCTGAGCTGACCAGTAAATAGAGACCTGTGATAGAAACTTGTTATTGGCCAGGAATGACTGATGGAGGGCTGCCAGTTATTTTTTACAGCAGCTTTTACACCAGCTCTCAGAAGCATTTTGGGCCTCGCTGCGACAGCACCCACCTCCCCTGGGCAAGAAACCAAGGAAGCTCCCAGGCAGATCAATCTTCCTGATAATTTACAGCTCCATCACTGGGATGAGGTCAGGGTAGGTGCAATGAGTGATGTGGTCCCAGCCCCAGGCTGTCGCTGCCGGTTGTCACCTTGCCTGTCCTCCCCGAAATGACTTCCCCAACATCCTCCTCCAAGCAGCAATTCTATCAGCAGGTCCTCTCAGAAAACCACCACGAAATGAATTGCTCAGGCAGTCAACAGCAGCCTCCTGCAAACACTTATCCCCTCCAAGACTCTCCTCATAAAACTTTATGATACCTTTTTCTTATGATAATCCAGTATAAACATAATTTAATGGGACTGAGAGGAAAACAATCACAGCAACAAAAACAACAGGCAATGGTTGTAAAGTCTCCCATCTCATCATTTTTTCTTTCTTTTCGCTCATTCTCTCTCCTTTGGTTTAAGTGTGTATTATTTTGGCCATGCTGTCACTGGGTTATTATGTGCTCTCAATTACACTGCAATAAAGCCTGAAGGTCTTTTGTGGTTATACTTTAAACCTTTGAGGTGAGGTGGTTTTTTTGCCTATGAAATTGATTCAGCTTTGCTTCAGGTTACTTTTATGCCTGCTAAACCACTCCATCCAACACTGAAAAAGGAACTGTGTCCAAGGGAAATGTTGGAGACAACCACATAAACAATGCACCCGAGACCTGCCCATTTAACCCATAATCTGAATTGGATTCTGTTTCCACAGCAGTTCCCTGTGTGCACCCCCACAGGTTATTTATCAGGCACAGAATGTCCCTGACTGGGGGATCAATACCCCTGGGAGTGTGTCACACCCTGCTCGGCCTCCTTGGACACCCCAGATCTGGGGGGTCTCACCGTGCTCTTCCTCAGTGCCTTCAGCCTCACAGCCCCTCCCCTGCCCTGGGAGCCTGGGACAGCTTCCTCCACACAGTGCAGGTGGAATCACCATGGCAGATCACAACAAAAAGCAATATTAACTCCTTTAATTAAATTTACCACCATTATTACTTATTTGAATGAGACAGAGCCGCCACCACGAAGATGTAATATCAGCAGCTGCACAAATATGGAGCTAAATAAGCAAATAATTCATAACCTTGCTAAACAAAGACTTCACAGGGCTTGTTTGCTTTCACAAAAGCAAACATGTAGAAATATGTTTAAGCAAAGAGATTCTGCCAAGATTTTGTGTGAAAACCTTGGCCTGGCTGGTGCACAGGCTGCTCCAGGTGGAAAAAGGGGATTTGGGGGGATGTGAGAGTTCAGCAGAAAGCTAAGGATAAAAACAAATGGATGGGTCTGTCCCACTGTGAGCTAAAAGGTAACTGGAAAGGTAAAATGATGGGGAGGGGAGAGGAGGGGAGGGGAGTGGATTGAAAAAGTCCCTTGGGAAGGGTGGGGAGTGCAGCCAGTGCCTTTCACTGACTGCTCCCATGGATTTGGAGACACAGATCCCAGGGAGGGCCCTGCCACAGCCACCTGAGATCCCCAATTCCTGTGGACACCAGGGACACACGAGTCCTGACAGCAACTGCCCAGGAGTGAACTAATGGGAACTGCAAATTCAGGCAAATGAAGCTGATTTAAGAATTTCCTCAATTCCAGCTGTTGTTTCTGCAGTTTGTGCTGGGGAGAAGCAGTTACAGGGCAAACCCAGATTCCCCGTTCACCCGTTTAGCACTTATTTAAGGCAAACCAAAAAGGAGAAGCCGGTAATCTTTTTTTCCTTTTGGATTAGCCAGTCAGGAGATTCCAGTAGGGTTCAACCAAACTTTTGTGATCGTGTAATTTTCAGTCTTCATTCCTGTAACCACAAAACCAGCCAACAGCCTGACATGGATCTAATCTATAGTGAGGGGAAAAAAAGACATTTTTCATGTTTGGGGGAGGCGGATGAAAAAATGCATCTTTTCCATCAACACAATGCAAAATCTGATTTTTTCCATCCTAAACCTGTTCCAGTGTCCACACAGTAAAACCAAACAAGCTGACTGCATTATGTGCCAGTTGTTGCTCTGGAGTACTGCTGACATGATTAATTAGATGGTCACTGGGCCAGAAAAAAAGAACGAAAATTAGTACGAATTTCTGGTCATTCCAGCACTTTATATTAAAGAGGCACAGATGAAATACTAAACCCTTGGAGAAAGGAATGGACCCTGCATCTGCCCGCTGCTCAGGTCAGGTATCTGAATAACCACCCAAGGGCACAGAACAAGGTTGAAGGGAGGGTTCCCAAGATGCAGGGGCAGCACCTCCCCAGCAAATGCCACTGTTCCCTCACGCCTGGCAGGGCCTTCCCTCAGATCTGTCTGGTTACACATGTACAAAGCACCTGTTCCAGGCACCTGGAATGCCAACAGACCATTGCTGCAGTACTGCAGAATGACCAAAAATAAACCAAAGCCCGGGGAACATTTGTACTTTCAATTCCTGTTACATTCAGGATGTTTCTCTGATAATCTGCAAGAATACTGGTACGTACTCACGAAAAAAATATCAAATGCAGGGTGCTCGTACAGACCTGTGTGTGCACATATAAACTACAGAATCATTAAGGTGGGAAAAGACCTCCAAGACCATCAAGCCCAACCTTTGACCAAATACCTCCATGCCCACTAAACCACACCATGACCAGAAAAACCACAAAATCCCAGCTCTTTAATTCCTTCAGCATCTGCATCACAGTTTTAGAATGCAGTACTTAAAAGCAAATTTAAAAGGAATTAAACAATAGGTGACTGATTTCAGTGAACTACCAGCAGGTTTTTGCCTTAACAGACCTCACTGAATCATCAGACATTTGCTCCAAGGGCTGTTTGCTCACATTTAACAACAGCTCAGTTTTGTTAATGTCCACAGATTTGTACTCTAAGAGCAGGAATTTTACCACAGGAGGTGACAGATGTCCAGAGGGGCTGACCTGTGTTTCACGTGGACAGCACAGAACACAGAACTGTGCCAGCACCAGGCACACTCAGCCAGGAGCACAGAAGGCTTCTGAAGTCAGTGGAACAAATTTTGGATGGCCTGACCCAGAATCACAGAATAACCTGAGCTGGGAGGGACTCACAAGGATCATCAGTCCAACCCCTGGCCCTGCACAGACACCCCAACAATCCCACCCTGTCCCTCAGAGTGTTGTCCAAACCCTCCTGGAGCTCTGGCAGCCTTGGGGCTGTTCCCACTGCCCTGGGGAGCCTGGTCAGTGCCAACCACCCTCTGGGGGAAGAACCTTCTCCTGAGATCCAACCTGACCCTGCCCTGACTCAGACTCCATAGAGCTCCTCACCTCTGAGCAGCACGAACCAGCATTCCCACCCCCAGCATTCCCACCTGTGCTTCCAACAGTAACTTACTCACTGGAGTTTGCTGTTTAAATGTCCCCGTGTTCGCTCTCATTTGCACATGCAAATCTCTGTGAGCTTTATGCAAGGAAAGGACGAGTCCTAACAACCCTTTTCAGCCAGACCATATTTCCTGCTATTTCTGGCTCTCCCAGTTTCACTCCTGGCCTGTGTCTGAGAACACAGAGGTAAACAAAAATGAAAAATGATGAGAAGGAAGCGAGCCACCTGCTTTCTGCCTCGGAGGGCTGGGATCGTTCTGAACAGGAGCCTACGGGGTAC